GGTTTAAGGGTTTAAGGGTTTAGGGTGCGGTTAGAAGGAGTGCGTTGGCTAATACAGCGACTACACCTTCTTCCAGGTCAAAGATCGTGGTGACTCGAAGAACAAGCACCAGATGTACTAATACATCAAGGGCAAGTCGAAACGAGTGACCCTTGGATCAGTCTCGGTTTAAGAGGACGGACCTACGAACGTGTTGTTCGAGGTTGTCGAAGACAAAATGCCGGAGGCATCCTCAGTTGATATGCTCCAACTTGTCTTGGCATCTGCCGAGGAGATAGTAAATCTCTCGGAAATGACGTGGGATCGGTTTCTATCCGGACTAAAGGAAGGAAAGATCCACGAGATAGTCGCACCAGTTCCAGAAGAGAACGTGTTGGACTGTTGCTCGTCGTCCACAATGAACGAGAGCGTCTTGGAGACCGAAAAAAGAAACGGTTCGCTGCTCAAGGCTGGGATGCCTTGAAGGACAGCCCGTTCTATGATGTTCTGTGGAAATGTTTCCAGCAGAAGTGCCGAGCCGCCTACCGGCCGATAGGAGCATCAGGCACGAAATTGACCTGGAGCCTGGAACCAAGAATTGTGTGACCAGGCAATGGCTGTTGCCAGAGGAATAAGCCGATTAAATCGATGAGTTCTTCGACAAAGGAGCCAAGGCGGGACAAGTACGTGAGAGCAAGCCGCCCCACTGCAGCCCGACCTTCTGTGTGCGTAACGCAACAGGCGGATGGCGCGTGGTTCACGCTTATAATAAGCTGAACACGGCCACCATTCCAGCTCAAACGCCGATCCCGCGGAAAGATGTTTTGTTGAATTCCATGGGAAAGTCAACTATCTTTTCCGCGTTGGATCTGAAGGATGGCTACTATCAGGTTCTCATGAGAGATACCGATGTAGCCAAAACGGCAGTAAACACCCCAAGAGGTATGCTGTGGGAGTAGCTTGTGATGCCACAAGGGTCGAAAAGGCTCCATAAACATTCAACCGAGTGGTGGCTCACGTGATGCGTCAGCGCCGTGCCTACGCGCCCCATTACTTTGACGATGTATTCTTGCATAGTAGGGCGGGGGACGGTCTGAGAGCAATAGAGTCGCACAAGCACCATTAAGATGCTGTGATGTACACTCTAGGGACGTCCAATTATACGTTGATTTGCAAAAGTGCGTAATAGGGGTCCCCGAGATACCTGTGCTGGGCTGCATAGTGTGTACACATGGTGTACGAGCAGACCCTGAAAAGGTAAAGGCGATCGAGGAATAGCCAGTCACACGACATGTGAAGGATCTGCGCCAATTCCTTGGGCTCGCTAATTACTTGCATAGGTACATCAAGAATTATGCGGAGCAGACTAAGCCATTGTCTGACCTTTTTAAAAGGATACAGAATGGACTTGGTCTAGGGAGCAAGTAGATGCGTTCACATCAGTGAATCAATCTCTTGTAGAGGCACCGGTCTTGGCATTGCTAGACGCGGATACGCCCTTTAGCGTCGTCTGTGATGCAAGCAATTTTGCAATCGGCAGCGCGCTCATGCAGAAGGATGACAGCGGCATTGACCGTGTCATTTCGTATCAGTTTCGGCGTTTGAAAGACGCAGAGCTGAATTACCCTGTGCATAACAGGGAGATACTTTCAATTAGGTATGCTCTTGTTAAATTTCGCGCGCACCTCTAAAGCACCGAAACTTATGTGGTTTATACGGATCACGCATCACTGCGGGCCGCTATAAATTCATCGCACCTCTCGCCTAGGATGCTGAGATGGCTAACATTCATCTCTGAATTCAATTTCAAAGTTGAATGCAAGCCAGGTAAGTCGAATGTCTTGGCTGAAGCGTTATCGCGCAGACCAGAATTTGAGGCAAGGCACTAAGAAAATATGTCTCGTGCGAAAGCACAAGGTTAGTCGTCAACATTGGCAGGCATGAAGGCCTACCATGTGACGAGCTCAATGGCCTCCGATATAAAGGAGTGTTACAGTCAGGACGAACATTGTCGCCTGCTGTTGGATCATTTTGGTGGACGAAAGGTTACCCTTCCGTTGCACTTGAAAGCGAAGCTTAATCGTTTAAGTTACAGTGATGGCCTGTTATGGCATCAACTGTCACCCTGTGATCCCTTGAGAATCTATGACCCTCATGACACAGATGTCAAGCTGATGATACTTCACGATTGCCATGATGCTCCATCTAGTGGGCATCTGGGCCGTGAAAAGACATTCTTACGAGTGTCAGAAGAATTTTGGTGGCCTCACCTATACCGGTGGGTAGCCAACTATATTCGTTCTTGTGAAGAGTGTAAGCGCATAAAGCCTGCACCTTCGAACAGTGCGCCACTGAAGTCACTGCAGATTCCAACGGATCGTTGGAAGTTGGTCAGCTTGGACGTTATGTTTGGCTTACCGCCTGACCATAAAGGCAGGACGGAGCTTGTTGTCTTTGTAGACAGCTGAGCAAGATGGTGCATTTGGCACCATGTAGCACCAAGATCTCAGGAAAAGAGGCTGCCTCTTGTTTCTGGATCATGTGTAGAGATGCCCGAGTCCATAGTATCGGATCGGGGTCCGCGTTTCACGCCAGGTTTTTGGCGGCATGTGTTTGAGCTGCTAGGTAGCAAGGTCCACATGTCAACCGCTGATCATCCCTACACCGATGGCTAAACAGAACGAGCCAATCGAGTCGTGACGGCTGTATTGCGCACAATAGCGACTCCTCTGTAATGGAGCAAGCAATTGCCATTCGTGAAGTTTGCTATTAGTAATAGTACTCACGCCAGTACGGGTGAAACACCGTTTCATAATAACGTACTGCGTCATCCTCGCAAGCCAATCTCGTTTGTGCGCAGCCCGAGTCTTATTGGGGAGGGCCCCTTAATTCTTTTGGCGCGAATGCCAAAGAGACATAATGTTGCCCTAGTGACACTTCTAACTTAGCAGTGGTCACGACTCTTATAGGTGTCAAGGAGGAGGCACGGCAAGAAATGCCAGTGCTCCTTGACGATGACACTATAGTATTATCAACAGCGTCAACCCATGACCGACCCCTTATAGGTGTCATAGGCGCTGCTAAAAGCGTGAGCGAAGCTCAGCGCTTTGTGGATGAGCGATTAGCCATCACACGTAGAGTCCGTGACGTAATGACAAGCGCACAGGATTGGGCAATTACGATGGTCGAGGAAGTTGGAGGCCTAAACTATAGGCTCACTCTCCCATTGTATAAGGAGACTCACCCCGTAAATTACATATGTCGTCTGAAACGGTATGTGGATCCACAAGAGATCACATATCCGCATCAGTCTAATGAGACCGATAGTGACGTCGACTGTGAGTCGAGCGTCGTTGCCGATCAGGCGACGGGGAAGGTGAACGACTTCCCTTATACGAGTGCGACGAAAGAGGACTCGGTGATCGAGGAGGACTCCGCATTGGACGAGAGTATCTCATCACCAGTCGCTCATGCATGTCCAAACGGAGCTTCAGGCGGTCGTACCCCTGACGATCCCTCTCCCTCATATCTCCTAGATCCAAAGTCAGTCGCGAGACTTGACTCGAATGATCAGCCACCTCTCTCTTCAGCGCAGTGTTTTCCACCTGCGACTGAACGGCAACAGGGTAAGCAGCCGCGAATAGTTGGGCGTAATCGCCGCTTCTATCGGGCGCCACCTTTGCTGGTGGATGCGAATGGGAATACACCCTTCCTTGTTGGAAGGTTGTTGGCCCACCGCCATGTGAAGCAAAAGCTTCATATTCTTGTCCAGTGGAGGGATACCCGAATATCTTACTCTCTTGGGAACCGTTTGCAGCGTTGCGTGTCGACGTGCATGGACAATTGTCCCATTAAAGCACTGTGCTCATTACCACTTACAGATGCTGGCAATGAAGTGTTCTCATTGTAGTCTACAGTGAGAGACCGATCTTCATCTGCACAATAGCGGGATGGAGTAGTGTTCTCTGCTATCAAGCTGACATCAGATGTCGGCGCTGTCACAGAGACAGTTAGCGACGCCTGCAAATTATCGCGGCGCGTGCGCTTTGGTTTGGTATGCATTGGCGCCTTTGCAGGCAACCCATCAGCCTTATCACGCTTCGGTGGCATCGTCTCTTTTCAATGTCTTACAAAAATGTAAAAAATCGTTTTAAAGAGGGGGATGGTGTAATGGACCAAAAGTTACACGAGTCCGTTGAGTATATGATACTTAACGCGCATTGCCCAAGACATACAGGAGATAAAAGCATAACTTCTTAGTACAGGGATGACTAATAAGGTACGTGGTACCTTAGACCTTTCGTTCGGGTGAGGCACATAATTGTGACCCATCCTCTTTAATGTTATATTCATGGATGGATTCACATTCAACGGCCTGTTTGAGACTAGGAACGAGAAGCTGTTAGCGCTTCTGCGTGGCGCAAGTGAAGTACTTGTTTCGATGGTCGTTGTACGGTTCCCTTCGGCGACCGGCAACCGTTGGTCCGACCGTTTAACGGTCCACCACATAGCACGGAGGTTAGACAATTTAAACCGCCTCCTCGCGTGCTTGGAGGTGTGTGCCATAGTAGCACGTGGCAGCTTCTTTGAAGTATCGTCTACAGCTTGTGTGGTGGTTTGGTGAGGTGGTGTGACTGTGTGGTGGTGTGACTGTGTGGTGGTGTGGTGGTGTGGTGGTTTGGTGAGGTGGTGTGACTGTGTGGTGGTGTGACTGTGTGGTGGTGTGGTGGTGTGGTGGTGTGGTGTGGGTTGTGTTTGTTATTTAAACAGCAACTCTGGTGTGGTGGAAATAGTAAAGAGTCTGCAAAAGTTATGGTGTGGTGGAAGTAGCAAATTCCGAAAATACATGATTGAAGTGCCATCCTCACCAGCGTAATCGCACAACCCGGACAGGATCAAACACCTTTGCTTCTTCCTTCAGGGTGCTGTACATAAATTTTGTGCTAGGATTTTGTTAGTTAAGCATAAAGCACACGCTTATAAAAGCAGATCACCAGTCAATAATACGTACATCCGATCGGTTAATACTCTTTCTTCTTCTCTTCCACTTTTTTCTTGGACCCTCGGCGCGCAGACCCCTTGATGCGAAGTTGGCTCCAATCCGGTGCGGTTTCCCCTTGGTAGCCGTAGTCAAAAAAGAGCTCTTCACCCTTCGCAATATCTTGCTGCGCCCAGATAGAAATTCGGTGCTCGCCACCAACAGTCAGAACTTTGCTTTTGCATTTTTTGTTCGTTGTCGAGTGGTTTGCGAATTTGCTTTTGTTGCCCTTGCGAATTGCGTCAACTACAGAGTCATCATCAACATCGAACAAAAAGCTGATAGTCATCTTGTCATAGATACTGCCACGGCGTTCTGCTTCGTCCTGAGAAAGGAGCGCTCCGTGGTACTCGTAGATGAACTCGCCACGCTTGATCGGCTCTAAGGCAAAGGCCCCCCATCCGTGGGTGGTAGAGTATCCGACACCAACTTTCTTGTGCAGACCTCGCAGGATATTTACGTTACAACAGATACCTAAGTCCAATGCAGACATGTTTCTGCGCTCCTTATCGAAAATCAATGCCGGGACTTCGCTAGCACCACAAGTCACACACAAATCGGGGTTACACTCGCGCGCAGCGATGAAACACGGGCACGCCTTGGTTCGGCAGTTTCCAAGGCTGCACTTGCACCCTGGGAATCTGTCACCATGTCACATTCAAACATACCAATTAGCGAGGAATATATTTTGCGGAAAAATCAAACAAACGAACCGGTTGGGGCAGCTGCGTGAGCATGAACACGCCTTGTGACACGTATGATCGCGTGTCATGCATGAGCAACCCGTCGAATCGCACGCACCCTCATGATCACATGGCTCATATTCATGGTTTGCCCCCCTGTCCTTCAAGCAATTGTTTCTAGTCTTGTTAAGCAGACTTTGATTGCTACTGCTGCGCGATTTTAGCGCTCTACTACGCTTTCGGCCATTGTGATTGGAACGGGCTTCAAGTGACAGCGGCAAGATGTCCATCGCGCTCGTGCGAGTTCGTTTGCTGTTGCAATCATATTCCAACAATGCCTTAACTTCCTTGCACGTTGCTGACTTACTAGTGGAAGAAATGAGACACGGGTTGTCGCCAATGATGTCCCGAAGCTTCCGTAGTAAGGTCAGCTCGGTGTCGCTCATTAACTTCACAATGTCTGTAGAAGCAGTGGAAATTTCAGCTTTCCAGCACTCGTTTAAGCACTTCTCGTCAGCTTGCTGTGACTGATGGACAATGGCAGTCACTTGGCCGCAGTAATAGTCATCAAGGTACTCAGACTCATCTGCCACCTGCGGGTATAGTTGGGCGCGATAAGGCCCATATTGCTTCTTTTGAAATGGTCGAGCACCTTGCATAATCAAGCTTTGGCTTGCTGAAGTACAAATTCTTGTCAATGCGCGAGAAGATCGACGAGTTTCTTGTAAATGTTCGGTAGTTGTCACTTCTCCGTCTGCAGCAATCGTGTAGTTCGTTTCGCTAAGCCCGAGTTCCCCATCAATGCCCTTATCGGTACGCACATACCCGCTGTGTAATCCCTCGCTTTGGAAACTATCGACAGCAGTGTAATTACTACTATTTGGTGCGCCAGCGCTAGTCCGGGGACTTACGGTAGATACGCAACTTCCGGAGCTACGGTCTGTTGGTCTTAGGTCGTGGCCGGACTGCAATTTCGCAAGGGTAGCAAATGCGACAGGTGACAGGCGGACCGGGGGGTAAACAGGATCAACCCGGTGGGACGGAAGCGGATGCTCAATGCCGTGCTCGAGACAATGGTAATCGTAACACATACGGCAGAACATGTCACGATACGTTTCAATCAATTCCGCGTAGTTCTTGGTTGATCGTAGCCCCAAACCATAGCTACGGTTTGAGTGATGCCTTGCCAGATTTGAGTCGAAATAATTTGGCGGTGGAGTTAACCGTTCCGCCAGGGTCTTTTGACAATCCGTAATGTCTTGTAGTGATGGTTCCAAGGATACCAATTTCGCCAGCGGAAACTCTTTTGGCTTCCTTGAGATCAGCTCTTTTGCCTCCTTTATGCGCCGTTTTGCGAGATTAAACGAATCATCTAACTTTTTCATCTCGCTGTAATCCGAGTAAGCTTGAGCAAACCCGAGCACATTTTTCAGCGCACTGAACACATTGTCGGTAGTTCCGCATTCACATACAACAAGACGCAATAAACACTCGTTCACCTCGCCATCCAGGCCAAGTGACAGACTCGAACTCTTGGGTCCAATTGCATCGTACCAAGCTTCATCGATATCTGCACCATCATCATCTTCTCCGAAATATGGCTTGTAGTGCAAAATTAAATCGTCCTCCGCTCGAATGTTTGCTTTCAAGCCGATGTAAGCAGTGCTTTTGCTTAGTGGTCGACTGTAAGGCAGCTGATTAACGTCTTGTGGAAACACTTTCTCTTCGACACTTAGCGTTTCACCCAACATAGTGTAATATCCCAATGACAATGCTTGCGTCATTTTTTCTTGCTTCATTTGGTTAAGTAGAGACTTGCTCAACACAGCCACATCACCCAGACGTTTGCCTTGTGCTACAGTAGATTACATGATCAGCCAACGTACGATTTTTTGCACTCAGGACGGAGCAAAAATATATACAACGTACTTTGGTAGTGCACGCCCTGCTTCTTAAGAGCCTCGTGTGCAGCGAGATATGTTTTAATCTTCGCTCGCGCTTCAATAAGAATAGCCGTCGTTTTTCGCTGGCGGCATGCTCGAAGCCTGGGCAATTCGCGATGGATTAGTTCAGTAACGAGGGTGTCCATGTCTTGTTGTGTAATATTTTGCTCAAGCTTTGCAGACTCTTGCGTAGATAAAGGAAACTGTGTTGATGAGCCAAGCTGAGGAAAGATTTTGCACCTTCTTCTCAGGCTACCGTCCACATCTACGCATAGAAGAACAACAATATAGATAGTCAGTAAAAAGAGTGGTCAGAGTAACAAAAGAAAAATACAAGCAACATACCATAGCTTAACAGCGGGCAGTCAAATACCGAGTAAAAAGGATGCGCGACGTTTGAATCGAGCGGTAGCAAAGTCATTGGTCCTATATCAAAACAAACATTTCGCCACACCGTACCAGGCATAACCGTATCGCGAGCATTCCTGCGATGCGCCAGCTTCTTTGACGAAGGACCAGCTTTCGTACTCGTAGAAATAATCGCTCCTGCTTTTGCTGATGAAGGCCTTGGTTTATTCTTTCCCTTCTTGCGCTTAAGCTTGGAAGATTTTTTCCACTCAACACACAATTCTGTCTTGCCTCGTTCTTGGGACTGTTCAGTGGTACGGCCTAAGGATATTTGTAAGTTAGATTTCGTTGGCTTGCTGAACATGTGCTCTTCGTCATTGAATTTGTCATTGTTCAATTTTGACAACGATTCTTCCAAGGACGGTTCGGGTTGGAAGGGTATATCCGCTTCGGTATAGTTATCATCAAACCAGTGAGTTTCATCAACGAGGTTTTTCTGGTCTTTGAGCGGAGAAAGCGATGGTTTTGGTACTGATGGCTTTGGTGAGTCCGTAATTTTTCTCTTCTTCGAAGGCACCGCTTGACATATTTTTTTCGCGTTGTCATTGCACATTCGCGCGAGCTCACGCTCTCGTGTCGCTACATCCTTCATGGATATCAACTTAGCTCGGACACTCGATGCGCTTGCGTGGTTTTCTATGTCGGATGACAACGAAAAAGAAAACACATCACTTGACTTGGAATGATCAAAGCCGAACGGCGAGGGCGGCGTCATTTTCCTCATTGACGGGCACTTGTTTCTACTGTGCGTCACCGAAGCGGTGTCGCTTGCTTTACGCTTTGATCCCGCAGTTGCTCGGCGTGCAATCTTGTGAGGCATTGATTTGCTTGTGCGATGTGCGTGAGCCTGCAGTCTTTCGAACTCACGCTGCTGCGCTTGTAATTCGCTGAAAGAAATGAAATCCGAGTACATTCGTCCGTCAGTGTCCGTAAGCCTCAGCTGAGCCGCTTCCTCACTGGTATCATCATCGCCAGATTCAATGGTAGCACTAGATTGGCCAGCTAAGCTCGCCTTATTTACCGGGGCCAACGTTTCACCTCGAGGTGCCGAGTACTCACAAGTATCACTCTCATGCTTCTTTTGTAAAGGTCTCTCTCTTTTTTTTTCCTCTATTAATTCACTCCCACTGCCGTAATGTATGCTCGTAAGGTCGGTAAGGGTAGCAGAGAGCGTGGGTGAAGCCACGCGCGGCTTCTTTACCAGACAGAGGCTAACTGAGTCCGACTCATCAGATGAACTCACGATCAAAGAGACGACTTGTTTACCACTGAGAGGCACGGGTTCATCGTCGCTCGAATCATCGACGACAATCACGGAATTTGATGGACTCAGCATTAGCTGCGGATATTAGCACAAGTTGTTAGAACTAAAGCGTACATTGAGACAGTTGATGCACAAGTAGCAGCGCAAGATATATGTGAAGGCGTCTTGTGTAACAATGACCGTAAGTCCCGAGCTGTAGGCGATGATACGGACAGGTGATGAAAGACGTACCTATTCGTGGCCTTGTTCGAGTAAGCGCGAGATATAAAAATTGAGACTGAGAGGAATAGTTTAAAATATCAAAGATGACAGGATTTATACCATTATTGTTTTAGGTAACAGGAATTCTACAAAATTTATCCTTTATGTATAATTATAAAAATCTTCGCAAAACTTTCCGATTACATTTATTTGGTTCATTACTAGCTCACCACTTTTGTGCTTCTAGATAAACGCACAAAGAGCTGACTATGGCTATGGCTAAGTCAAATCCTGTGTGTTCGTCATTTTTTTGTCTTCGCTAAGGTGCAAGGCTAATCGAGGAGCGGTTTGGCAATCGTATGATTCTAGACTCTGTTTGTATCGGGGTTACACGACGGTTGGATAAATACGTCAAACGTTACGTCACGATTGTAAGCTATGTAGCTCTGCTAATGTACACGGTTCATTCATCCGTTATTCAACTAGGCAATCGAATTTCAACTTTAGACGTACATCGGCGAATCTTAGCACGCGCCACTTACACGTCATCGCTCGATTGATTCAACGGGGATCAACCAGAACTTTTCCTTCCTTACCTACCCTCCCGGCTGTGAGTCGCGTTGCCTTTCCTAATGCATCATTGCATCATTTCACACGCGAGCGTACATTGGTAACGGTTTCTATTTGCCGTCACAAATGTATAACCTTATAAAAAATCCAGCTGTAGTAAGCAAAGCATTAACGACAAGTGATGAGTCGCCGGATGCATTAAGTAATTCTACTAATAAAAAAGGTATTTATAATGGGAATGCTGGCAAGGCCTTTACTACCATGAAGTGGAGCTCAAGGACCCTTTCATAAAAGATCCAATTAAGTGTTTTTAACTGCTTCTACATGTTCCCAACTGCTTCAGCTTGTTCTAAACGGCTTCGACTGGTTTCCAACTGCGGCACCTCAGGAGCGCATTACAATAGTTGTAATCTATCACTAGGCTCACACCATACTATTTTAGAAACGTCGTTCATTTTTGCCATACAAGTCCTACTTACCTCTCCGCGAAACTCTGCCAAAAATCTCAGTGGCAAGTACAACCTGGGACCATGAGTCCGCACGAGAATACACCTCATATATTGTCCGTTATCTCTGAAGCAGACCAAACATTTACTAACTGCCAGCAACTTCATCCAACGGCCATCCAACTTGTTGAAGCACCTTTCTCTTGAAATAGAGAGAGGCGTGTTTGTGTATGCACAAAAAGATGTAAAGACGCAGCGTCGACGACTGTATGGGTAGAAACCCCCCAAGCCAGCTTGTCGTGACCATGAATGCAGACATCTATGTGAAGCTGGGCTTAAGCATGGAAACTTCTGGCCGATGTTGTCATTTACGACATTTAAGCAAGATGTCGAGGGCTATATGCCCAAGGTTACACGACCCGTTAGTACTTTAATGAGACACAACATGTGACCCACCCTTGTGAATGTGACCCACCCTTGTGAATGTGACCCACCCTTGTGAATGTGACCCACCCTTGCGAATGTGACCCACCCTTGTGAATGTGACCCACCCTTGTGTATGTGACTCACCCTTGCGTATGTGACTCACCCTTGCGAATGTGACTCACCCTTGCGAATGTGACCCACCCTTGCGTATGTGACTCACCCTTGCGTATGTGACTCACCCTTGCGTATGTGACCCACCCTTATGTATGTGACCCACCCTTACGTATGTTATATACATCACGTTGGAGGTAGGGTGTCCGGCAAAGCCCCAGGCTGAAGCCCAAGGGCTACTTCCTAACGTATTCATGGTATTGCCTGGATATCTAAGACTTTGTTGGAATGATTGGGACCCCTTTGTCATTTACCTGTAAAAGTTTACCCCACAATCAGAAACAAATCGAGCAAACATTTCCAGACGCCAGGCAACATGAACGATCGTGATGCCACTCCTGATCCCGTTGCCTCCACCTACATGCCCGTGGAATGGCAAGACATGTTTAGCCAAATTGGTCAATTAGATTAAAAAAGGGTCCCCCTCTAAAAAGTCTAGATTCTTTGCGCGCGTTCGTAAAAGCTGGCTAGATCAATCGATACGATGCACAGTGTAGAGTCTGCGCGGAAATTCAGAAGGCGGCTCGATCGAAGAAAATGATGAAAGCTTGATCGAAATGTGTACGGTAGTTACAGCAAAAGCCCGTAAGATTGCGTATAAGAAGATAATCAAGATCCTGGGTGAGCATCGATTATATTTTCTTAAGTTTGTTTGAAAACAACAATTGAGCTAATGGCTCATTTCATTTGCTTGTATGGTTTACGGGCCGCCAGATTCGCAAACATGTTGTAATTGACGAAAGAACAGTTGAATGTAAGGAAAATAGTCACCATAAGCGTCCCCAGCACAACTTGAATACCTGCGCAGGAGATCGAAATAAAGCTGCGCAATTTTGTCTAGGATAATACGTCGGTGCAAACCAAAACTCGTCAGGATCACGATGGACGCGGATAAGACGGCTGGAGCTTAAGCAACCTTTGACGGAGAAGTACCATGCAGTGCAGGGTGGATGTTATCTTGTGATTGCGTTGCATGGGGCTAG